GGCTTTCATTTTCTTTTTGGTTCTCTTTTTCTCTCCCCTTTTCCACAGTTTTATTGAGAAATAATTCACACACTTCACTCTATACGTTGAAGGCATACAGCACGATGGTTCACTGTGAGATGATTAGTGCAATAGGTTCAGCTAAGATCCATTTGATTTTTCATGATCCTTGATTCCTTCCATTGGTACCTGTGCATTTGAGCAGTGGTGCGTGTCTTCCAGAGTTTGCAGGTTTACCTTGGCAGGCACAGCTCTTCACTAGTCAGCCCAGCATGGGTTTCTGGATGTGTCTGCTGGTAATGTGTCTGGGCAGGTGGGACCTGCTATTATGGTCTATTCTTAGGCAAGGCAACTCTGAGGACAGGGACACGAGTATGCCTGGCTGAGAACAGCTGGGCAGGACCGTTGCCTTACCTCCCCCACCCAAGGGAGGCTGTAGGATGGGCTCCGCAGCGGCCTGGATTCTCTGGTCGGGCTGACAGGATGGTCGGGACTGGGCGCTATATTCAGGATGAGGTGGGGCTATGAATTAGCTGCCCACGCCCTGGCTGGGTATCAGGCCTCGGCCCAGAGCACGTACGGCTCATTGTTTGGGGGTCCAGATCGGGCCTGAGTGTGCACGGAATTCCCTGATTAGGGGAGGCCACCAGGTCTGCTCTGGAGACAGGGGAGAGGCCCCGGACTGTGCTCTTCTGTTCTGAGCGCCACCATGCGTCGGGCTGTTGAATGGGCCCCGGAGCTTCCCCTGTGCTCTGTTAGGTTCCCCGGCCAGACAGGCTGGAGACTGGAACCAGCAAGGGTCACAGCTACAAAGTAGATTCCCTGCCAGAACGCAGTGGGAGAAGTGGCTCCAAAACCAGTAAAGCTCTTTGTTGTCTCAACGCAAGCCTATTACACCCCAGCTCCTGGCTGCACAGGGCCCCTGGCTTCGCTCTGTCTGCTCATCTCTCAGCTTGAGGGCCGCTGGGCCACAGTGTCCAGGAGTCATGACCAGCCCCCTGGTCAGATGGGGCCTCCATGGTGGGTGGGGCTATGTCTCAGCCCCCTTGCCTGGGTAGGGGGGTGGCGGGGGGCAATGCAGACTACTCTCAATTTCCCAAACAGGCTCTCAGGATAGGAGGGGCCGGGAACTACCTCAGCCTTGGCTATGAATCGTCTTCTTGCCTGTGGATAGCGTGGGGAGCCTGCATGCTCAGTACTGGATTCACTCGGGCTGGGGGGGTGGTGGGCAGGGGGATCAGCTCTGCCATCCTGCCTCTTGAACACAGCTTCCAGGAGCTGTGGCCAGCCCCTCCCCTTCTTCATCACAGTCAGATTCCCAGGGCCTGGGCCCCAAGAGTCCCCTGCAATCCCTGTGGTGTGAGATCAGAGTAGGGGCTCCCACAAAGTGACCCACAATGCCAGGGAAGGTTGGCGATCACCCCTGGGGCTCCCTTTTCTGGCTGCAGGAAGTGGAGGTGCAGGGAAGACCTCTTGGCTGTGTGCTGCACTGGCCTGGGGGAGGGAAAATGGGGTCGCTGTGTGGCTGCTTCTCTTACCCCCTAATGCTGTCTGCCTTGGTCTCTGTGGTGCAGGGGGTGCGTCTGCCTCACCTCCGCTTCTGGGTTTCTCTCAGTGGTGTCTTGTCCTTGAATACACGTTAGTTGTTCTCATGATGGGGAGCAAAGTCAGGAACAGCCTCTGTTACCATCGTGGTGATGTCACTTTTACCATCACTCCTTAAAAGGTTCATGCGCCTTCTTGCACATCAAATGGCTCTTAGACAACATTTTAATGATTTCCGTGTAAACAAATCAGAAACATATGAATTAAATTTCCCTTAAAATATACACTTGTAATTAAGGGGAGAAGTGCTTGGCAAAGCGTGTTTTACAATTTATCAAACCCAACATTTGAAAAATAGGGTGAGACATCTGACAAACCCTAACCCAGCAATCTTGCCCATCCCCTACAGCAGCACACATACTCTGCTTCTGAGCAGGGGACCCAAGTCTGCCTCCCCAGACCTCTGCCCTTCCCTGGGCTTCTTAGAAGAACCCATTAGATTGTAGCAGACAGACTGACTCCGTGGGCTCTGTAGTGAGGGTTATGGTTCTCCCTTTCCCTAGGCCTGTTTCATTTTCAGGGGCTGTGCTTCCCCTGCCCGCCCCCCTCCCCCCAGTCACACACAGGAGAGCTTTGCAGTCTAGTCTGTCTGACTGGGCACTCTGCTGGGTGAAGTCAAGAAGAGGAAGGGGTGGCCTAGGTCATGTCCTGCAGTTCAACCTTCTCCTACCTCTGCCAGGCAGTCCACCTCTCCCTGCTATCTCCCCCTTTCTGTCCTAAGCCAACATTTGGAGCCTTTGTATTTTTGGGGTCCAAAAATGTTTGCAGGACTGATATGTAGAAGCTGCCTGAGTCAGCAGCTCCCCCCAGCTCATGCAGGAACCTCGGGTTATTGAAATTATTAGGCCATGTGTCATGGAGGAAAGAGAGAGAAAGGCCACCCAGAGAGTGGCCAGAGACTAGACTCTGGAGCAGGTTCTGGGGTCTCACGACAGTGGGGCCCTGTGCCCTGGCAGTGCCCAGGGAGACTCAGAGCTTCAGAGGAAGGCTGGTGATGGGGCTCGGACTGAGGTTCTCAGCCTGAGCAAAAAATTCCTATATCCCAAAGTGTCCAGGAAGTAACTGAGCCGCAGACACAGGGGATCCTGAGGAACCTGGTCCTTCTTCTCTCAGTGCTCATGTCCAGCTAGCTGGACTCCTCATCAGAAAATCGAGGTCTACCCTGTCATGAGCCTTCCTACCTGTAGGACCTGGAGTGAGTCAGATCGTGCTACTCTGACCTTTATTTTTTAAGATTTTATTTATTTATTTATTTAAGAGAGCAAGAGAGAGAGCATGAGCGGGGAAGGGAGAGGGACAGAAGAGGGAGAAGCAGGCTCCCCACTGAGCAGAGAGGCCGATGCGGGGCTAGATCCTAGGACCCTGAGATCACGACCTGAGCCAAAGGCAGGCGCTTAACGGACTGAGCCACCCAGATGCCCCCCTGCTCTGACCTTTAGTTTCTTCATCTGAAAAACAGAGGCAAGGACACTGCCTAACCCCTCTCAATGATGCAGAAGTTTAAACCGACTAACTTCTAAAATTCGTGTTTTTCTTTATCCAGCCTAAAACTGCTGAGAAAGAAGCAACTCCCTCTGTCTCTCTTCTCCTGGGTCTAAAAATACTCAGAAGCTACAGATTTCTTTTCCTCCCCACTAACCGCCCAGCCAAATTACAGAGTGATTAGTGCTTACTGTTATCTATGGGCACATTTGTAACCTATCACCTTTTCTATCCCACCATGATCACCAGGTCTTCTGTCTTGGCAGCAGCACTGTTATGTCACCGTGATGGGGAGGAGGAAGGTGGGGGAGCAAGGTGGGACAAGGAAGTAAGGGGAAAACCCTTAGGTTAGCAGCCAAAAACTGTAAAAACACAGAATCACAGAATGCCTGTTTCTGTTCTGCAGCAGCTATGAGAGAAGATAGAAGCAGAGGCTTACCGTCCAAATTCTGGTCTATTTCCAGTTCTTGGGCTCCAAGCACTGGAGAAAAATGGCTCCCCGTCTACCAGCCCAGAGGTGGCATGTAGTCCAGAGAGGACAGGATGAAAATGCCTGGTCGCCCTCCTTCCCCACCATTTTCCAAGCCTTATTCTCCAGCTTTCTTGGAGAGTCTGTGAGCCACCCAATGCCCTTTCAAAAAGTTTCTTTTCCATTTAAATCAGCCAGGATATGTTTTCGTTGCTTGCAAACCCCACGGGAACACTACAGCCAGGCTTGACTTCTCACAGCCCAGGAGGCACAGACACTGGCATGCCCCAGCTCTTCCCCCCGTCTCTGGAAAAGCCAGTCAGTAAAGAGCATGGTGCTTGGGACAAAGTGGGGCACCAGGTTGAACCAGCAGAGTCCCCTGCCCTCAGAAAACTCCAAGTGGAAAAGGAAAGAGAAAAAACAAAAAGCATGCAATGCACTTCTGGAACAAAGCAACGCTAGAACAAAGGAATAAACCAAAGTCACATAACAAGAGAGTGAATGAAAGAGGTTTCCTGAGCTGGCTTTTAAGAAGAGCATTTGGGTAAGCAGGAAAGGGGAGGCAGGGATAACAGAAATGGAGAGAAATGGGGTATCAGGGAGGAAAGAGAAAGGTATACTGTGAACGAGAAGAGGGGCTCTCATCTGGGTGCACAGAGGTGCATGTGGGAATAAAGGGGTAGGTTTCATCACACATATACAAACACACATGCACAGATACAGACACACGCAAACACATAGGTATGTGTTCATGTCCATGTATGCACGTGTGTGTGTGAATTTTACACCACTTCAGCCCAGGAAGTACTTAAAACCGAATTCAGTTTTATCTGAATCCACTGGCGGACCATCGACGGTCCTCGCACAAGAACACGCCCCATGCTTTCCTCATCGAGGCAGTGCAGTTGTCCACAGCTCCAGGGGCAGGGGCAGCTAGTCTTCACAGAAGTGTCACAGATAGATGGCAAGATGTCACAGGCTGCACTGAGCAGCCACTCAGCAAACATCTACTGAAGAGGTCTCGTGAAGAAGCTGCTGCATCGGGCACCAGGAGAACCCTAAGACACATTTCTCAAGACTCTGGAGTGTGGCTCTTTGAATTCTCATGGTCAGTAGGCCGGCTGGCCCACGTGCCATGAACTCTGAAGCTCCAGCCTTTTGTAGTGCCTACGAGAAAGGCACCTCGAGCAGAGGAAAAGGCTGACCTGGCTGAACGGCCTGGTTGCAAGGCCCAGCCGAGGAGGCGAAAGGCAGATTGCAGAAAACAGGTAGATTTTACCAGATACATTCAGCTGTGACCAGAAGTTATGCCCAAGAGCACAGCGCACTGCAGCTCCTATAAGCAAATACCACACCACTCTGCTATGTACCCACTCTGTTATGTCCAAGCTGCCCAGAAACCATACCCTGTATTGGTTTCCTTTGTTGGGGCAAGATTTCTAACCTGGGAAGGGCACAGCCAGCCAGCGACCAAGCTCTGAGCACGTGTTCTGAGTACATGTCATCAATAAGTAGATCTGAGCCGGCGGGTCCTCTTAACACGAAATACATTTCTGCAGCTTGAAAAGAAAAAAAGACTGTTTGAGGCTGGTTTGAATTAGGTGGAATGGAGACAGGAATTTTCCTGAAGTCCCTTCCTCTCTCCCTTGGGCAGCTATTCACTGCTTGGCAGAAACAAGACACACCTAGCTGACCATGACCCCACAGCCTAGCCGAGGGAGCACCGAGTCTGGGTAGGGGCGGTAGGCAGGCCCAACAAGGGCTGCTGAGGCTGACTTTACATATTACCCACCTCCATGGCTCAAGCAATCTATTAGGATTCTGCAAGCCTCATAGCCATGATTCTGCAGCCCGTGTGACCAATAGCAGAGCTGGTCCCTTATGTGTTGCCGCCATCAAAAGGTACAATTATGCCTTTAAAGCTCAAGGTACAGTTAAATCTCTATAATGGTGCTAATGGCTGGAGCGACCTTGAAGTAGCTGCCATATTTTAAAAGATCATTCTGAATTGTTTTATGTCTGAAATTGCTCTGTAAAATCTTGTTAATTTTTCATCTTCAGTTGAGAATGCATTTAATGGGGAGAGGTTGGCTTTCTTCCAGCCACACTGCACAGAAGGGGCTTTCCTTCCTCGGCTGACAGGATCACCCTGGAGGACTAGGGCAAACTGCACTGGACGAGGTTGAGCTGAGCCCTCTGAGGCTTGGGTCTTAAGGGATCTGCCCTAAGGAAGAGTCCAAAGTGAAGATTAGGTCACAGGATACAGTCCAGTCCAGAGCCCACGAGGGACAGTTCAGATTGACATCTCTGTCTCTGAGAGAGAGAGAGAGAGAGAGAAAGACAAATATGTGGCTGCCCACATGAGCACATGGTCAGACTCCCTCCTTGGAGCTCCCACTGCCCCCACTGTCTATAACTGTGGCCAGCAGGTAACACACAAGGTGTTCTACTGGTCTCATTACCTATCTGTTCCCCCAAATAAACTGTGGCCCTCTCGAGGGAGGAGCTGTGCCTGGTTCACCATGGGGTCCCCGACAACCATCAGAGCAGTTAACAGATAGGATGCTGCCTCCTCTGGATTTTAAGGATAGGTAACAGGTAAACTAGGAAGGGAGACGTTAGGGATCCAGCCACAAAAGACAAGCACGAGGGTTTCGGGCAGTGAGTTGGGAACTCTTTCATCATTGACCAAGCTCTTGAAACGGTGACCTAGAATAACTCAGAAATGCAATGTGTTTTCCCGATATTTCCCAATAATAACAATGGCAGCTCAGATGCACTGTGACCAACTCCTGTTGCTAAGGCTGGGCACACATCACTCCATAGCCTTGCACTAACCCCAGAAGGAGGGGGTATCCTTATCCCTCTCTTACAGAATGGGAAACCGAGGCTTGGGGAAACAAAGTTACCAGGTCAGGATCACAGAGCCAACAAGAGGAAGAGTGGCACCCAAACCCAGAGCTCTTCTCTTGACCACAGCACTCTGGATATGATGCTGAAACTGAGTAGACGGAGGAAACCAGCCCCCAATGATTTTGTTGTTGTTGTTGTTGTTGCTGTTTGTATTTATTTTATTTTATTATGTTATGTTAGTCACCATACATTACATCATTAGTTTTTGACGTAGTGTTCCATGATTCATTGTTTGCGTATAACACCCAGTGCTCCATGCAATACGTGCCCTCCTTAATACCCATCACTGGGCTCACTCATCCCCCCTCCCCCCTCCCCTCCAAGACCCTCAGTTTGTTTCTTGGAGTCCATAGTCTCTCATGGTTCGTCTCCCCCTCCGATTTCCCCCCCTTTATTTTTCCCTTCCTTCTCCTAATGTCCTCCATGTTATTCCTTACTATGACCCAATGTTTTTGAAACCTCGACGGCAGACAATGGGGCAGTGTTTTACTTTGAAGATGCCTTGGCTTTCTGATTTATTTTGGGGAGGATGGCTCTTTGTTTACAAGCCTCCCAGGTCTGAAAAAGCAGAGCAAAATTCTACTCTCTGACGGTGAGGATAAGGAAGGCAACATCCTTCACTTAAACGCATTATTAACATCATCTTGTGTGGTTTAACCCTCACAACCACCCCATGCAGTGGACACAATTATTATCCACATCCTAGGTAGGTGGAAACTGCGGTCTAAAGAGACAAGGGGATACACCGAAGGGGACAGCCAGTAAGAGACGGAATGTGGGGCCAACCAGAGACGGTCTGAAGCCAGAGCCCCGTCCCTGGCCATGAGAATCCCAACTCTCACAGGCAGATGAGAATTTGGGAGGAAAGAACTGTAGAGTCCACGCGAAGTCTGGATTTGAGTGGATTCTACATTCAAGCCTGAAACAGGGGGCCCCATGGAGGTGCATCCTGCTTTGTACTCTAAGAAAAGACCACAACCGATTCTGCCAGAAACCCGGGGCGGGGGGGCTCCCAAACCCATAAAAGCATTATAAAGAATGGGAGAGAAGAGGGAAAGACTACAGCAGGGGTCAATAAACTACAGCCTGCAGGTCAAACCCAGCCATCTGTTTTGGTAGATAAAAAGTTGTATTGGCACACGGCCACAGACAGTGATTGATGCAGTGTCTAAACCCGCTTTTGTGCCAGACCTGCAGAGCTGAGGAGTTGCAACAGAGACGCTATGGCCCGCAAAGGCTACATTAGTTACTAGCTGGCCCTTTACCGGAAAGGCTTGCCAGCCTCTGGATTACCTGTTAGATTGCTTGATGCGAACACCAGCTGGGGCAACAGCAAGCCAACTCCAGGTAGAACAGGCACACCTCACCTATCCCCCTGATGCTGACACACCCAGCTTGTAATCATATTTTTCAAAACACACACTACCGCAAAGCACCCGGTGCCGCCCCTCACACCCCCTGCTCTCCACCCTCTAGAAGGAGCGGCAGTGGTGAGTCTTACCTTTGTTGTACATGTTCGTGGGCACTTGGACGTCACTCAGACTGATGTTCACAGGCAAATTATTAAAATGGTCATTTGGGGCTAAGATGAATTCCTTCCCCAGCTCCAAAAAATTCCCATCTTTGTCCCTTTCGTTTATCAGCACAGCATTGAAGTATTCATACTGAAAGAGAAAGTCAAAAAGCATTACTTGTGGCTCGGGACAGGACGCCGTGAACTCAGACAGCCCTGGGCACATGCTGCGGGCCGTCCCCTGCACGCGTGGATCCTGCTTTAGTCAGGCAATCTCCTTTAGTCTCCCCTGTCGTCTGTGGCTGTTTCTGCACAGGTGTGATAGCACGAGATAAAAAATTCTCAATGTCATTAAATATTCTTCGAAACCTTAACGTAAGGAGCTACACGGTACTTCCTTATATGCCTAGAGAAAACTGCCCTAAAGGTATTTTAATTCTTTAAATTTTGAAGACAAACCCTGCCCTTATGCAGCCTACATTTAGGCTGAAGGAGACTGGAAGTCAACAAAAAACAACAACTTAAATCTATAATATGTCTCATAGCCATACTTGCTACGGAAAATAGCAAAGCCGGGTAAGGTGGGGAGAGCGGCAGCAGAAGGGCTGTGTTTATATTCAGTGCTCAGGGCAGGTCTCAGTGCTATGGGGACACTCACGCAGAGACTGAAGGACAGGAGGAACAAGCTGTGTGGGCATCCGGGGGGAAGCACTCCAGGCGGTGGAGACCACACAGGCAATGGGCCTTGGATGGGAGCTTGCTGCCACGTGATGCAAACGGCTCTCATCATCATCCTAGTCCTTGTCACTGTCATCATCATCTAACATATACAGAATGCTTACTTTGTGCCAAACATTATTCTGAGTGCTTTCTTATTTATTTATTTATTTATTTAT